CGCAGAGCTAAAGAAGGAACAGAACAGTAGAAATCACCATTCCATATTCCTCCAGGCAACTGCTTTAAAACACCAGAGAAGTGGCAGAGGCAGAGCTTTTTTTTTTTTTACCTTCTGTTTTGACTTGGGAAAAGGACGGAGGCTTTCACATTCAGAGAAAGACCAACTGCTCTGACCCAAGCACCAGCTCAGTACCAATCAGCTAGTGAGAAACCCTTGCAATACCAGACTGTCAGCTGTTTTCTTTAGTAGAATCAGTCTGAACCTTACTTGCTTTGACCTGTTGCCTATATCAGTAGGTTGCACATAACAATTCAATCTATGTATTTATATAAAGTATTCATACATATATGGTATCTATTCAACATTTTTACCACATTTCATAGAAATTATAGCCATATTCATCTTAACTATATAGCTTTTGACAAAATTTAATACTCCTGGCTTGCCTTTTCTATTTATACTAGCCTATATAGAGAGTGGCCTTTGATATATTTTTAAAGTTGTTGAAACACTTGGACTTCTTTCTTTAGTTTAATCAACTGTAACACACCGAGAACTGCATGTGGAGAGCTGTCACATTTTAGCAGAGATGACAGTACTTGACCTTTTCTAGTTCTCTCCCAGGTGAGAAATCAGCATATCCTTCTCCTAACTTGTTAGAAAAAAAAAAATTAGAAGACAAAGAAGTGTGAACTTCACTTTTCTTCCCTTTCTCAGTTCAACTTTTCTCCCTTCCCTGAAAGATGCTGTCCATTTCCATATCACTTTTTTGCAAGGAGGGCAGATTTTCATTCCTGAAAGTTTTTAACTCTGCTACACACTGAGGTTTAAGAACTACACCAGACATCTATTACTTCTAAATAATGAAGTCATTTAGCAGAAGCATTTATATTCTCAATTATCTAGTCTGCTTTAGATAGAAAAAAAAGACAGTCAAGAACAAATATTCACTGATTTCTATTACAGAGGTTCATCAGAACAAGGAAAATTGAATAGCTATATTATTAGAAGATTAGAAATGCAAGTTCACACATGGCAGACATCAGTCCTTCATCTCAGTACAAGCTCATATCTTAGAAATGTGGGGTTCTGCATCAATGAACCTCTGTGTCAGACTCAATGGCAGTTTTGTGATACGGACAAATAGCTATTTGAAACTGGCTTGAGACAGCCAATGCTTTTAACCTGAGGCAGCAAGCTTATATTGTAGTGATAGCTACTGAAATAAGTCTACAAATGAACTCACCAATATTTAACTCATTCTGTTATGCCTTCCATTGGTCAAACTTCAGAAGTCTAGCTTTGTGCTACTACTACAACTACTACTACTACTCAGGGCAAGCCAATAAAGTGGAAACCATTTTCCTTAAGAAAATGTTAAAGTTCTTTGTGGGAAGATGAGGGAATCAGCTTATGCTGAAGCTAGATTGCTTGTTATTATGTCAGCAATATTCAGTCAATATTCAAGCAGAGAATTTATTTCAGTTCTTCAACACTTTGACTCCAATCCTACAAGTTTGGCCTGTAACAACAGTAAAGAGGTCACCAGGCTGAAAGTTCAGACACTTCATTGATGGTCCTTGAGGCCCTTTTCACTGCTACTTCTTAACATGTTTCTCTCTAAAGAGCCTATAACATTCCCGACACTGAAGCTGCCAAGTCCCTGAAGGGCTGTGTTTTTTTACCTTCCTGCACTCACCAGTAATAGAAGAAGCCGTTATCATTATTCCCACTTTACAAATAGCAGGTCAGCAAAGAAGACAACTCTACAACAAACCACATGAAATCAATTACTTTCTTTCAGTCCTGCCTTTCTCCTTGGACCACTCTTTAGATCTCTTGCTATGTGAGATTCTCACTGGAAACTGAAATTTTCAATAGTGTTATTTCAGACACCAGGAGAGCAATGCTTTTCATTTCGTTTCCTGTGTCCTGTTCCTTATTTCTCTTGTGTGCTTGCGGGTGCCAGCTAACTTTAGTAACCAATTAGACTGTAGTCACAATTCTGCTAGAGGTCTGGATCAGTAATTCACAAAGCAGAAAACAAAACATCTCTTGTTGAAATAACTGTAGCTTTATAGGAGAGCTTTTTTTTTTTTTTTTTCCCCTCCAGGAGGAAGTCATCCAGTAACCAACCCCATTGTGTGGCTCCATTTTAGAAGCCACAAAATAGGTCTGCCCTCAAATCAAGTAAACCCTCTGACAGACATAAGCAATTTGGATCAGCTGAGCTTTGACACTGGAGAAACAACTATCAAAGATCCTGAACACAATTAGCAGTCCCAATACTATTTTGTTTTCTTTATATCAGAATCAGAGTTTTGATCTAAACACTGCTTCCCATTCTTCTCACCAAAGCATCGTAAGCAGCTGCAAAAAGACTCCAATAAAGGACAATAGCATAAGGCCATTACCAAGGAAGGAGCAGTAACACAAAAGATTTTATGTCTTTTTGAAAAGGGCATCTTATGGGTCTAGTATAAAGAATTATATAACACTAAGAAAGCATGAGCATCCACAATTTGCTCACAGATGTGTGTATTATCAATGATAATCTGTTTTCACCTGGAGATAACAACTGTGGATGAAGGCACGAAAGTATCAGTTCCTTTGAAAAAAACAAAACAAACAAACAACAACAAAAAAGACAAAAAAAACCTATGGAAGAGTAGAAGAGCTTTAAGTATTAACAATGAGAAAGAAATGACTAGCTAAAAACCAACCAACCGAACCCCACCAACACCAGAAAACCAACCGGACAAATAACAAGTACATAAGGATTATCCTATCGTAGGCCTTAAAACTGCAGAAACAAAAGCAAGTTGAGGTCAGTGTGGAATCCCTGTCAGAATGTAATTCTCTACTAAAAAGTACTTAAGATTGAACCAAGCTCTACAAACAGTAAGAAGTCAAGCTTTGAAAGCTCCATGAACACACAGAATCACTCATCTTCCTGATGAAATGCATACAAAGTCAGAACAAAACAAAACACCTCCATGCAGGGCAAGCCCTGGCTTTTAAGCTTGTGCACTGTCCTTCAGAGCTAGTTTGATCAATGGAAGACAGCTGAGGCAACAAGACATCCTTTACTGCACTACTCTTCTGCTTTGCAAGCTCCCCAGTCGATCAAAGAAATAGAAACAGTAAGCACAAGTCAGCACACATAGTCCCCCTTAGTCCATCTCACAGTCAGGGGACATGGAGAGGCATGTTGATCCCCAGCCTCTTGCACGCAAACGTGTGCCATCCTGGGCTTTGCAAAGAAAATCCAAGGGCCAATGCTCACAGTGACTCCTGAACAGCCTTCCCTGACTGCAAGTTTGTCTGTGGGCTGCGCTTAGTACTGGGATTCCTTGGGATGGGAGAGTCTAAGTACCAAGCACTGCCTTAAGAGAGGAGAGTTAAACACTAATCTTGTATATAGACAACACGAGTTTTACCTGACGGGTGAAATGGCCTTATATTTCAGGCAGAACTAGAATTCCAGGTTACTTAGTATTCTCACAGTCTTTCCAAACTCCCATTTCACCCTGTCCCATCTCCTTGGTCTCAGAATCTCTTCCAGTAGTCTACCTGCTACACACATAGCACAAAATTCATCCAGAGGTGTAGAAAGGGGAAAAACACAAGGCTAGTAAATTTTGTAAAACACACAATGATCTCACTGAAGACCAGAGGACTCTGAAGTGTGGAAACAGGATGTAAACTGCAAAAACCCCAAATTCAGTTACGCTCACTAGAAATGTCTGTGTCTAAAGTCTTCAAGGGTTCTTAAGAGTCAAGGAATGGAGAACATTTATCTCAGCAGATTTTAACCGCAGCTTCAGATTTTAACTGCAGCAGTACAACAAACCAAAGAACCAAATAAATAGCCACTTCAGCATGGCTTCAGGACTTGGTTTCCTCAAACACATCTAAATACTACAATTGCCAAGCTTATATGCAACACTGGTCCTTTCCTAAACTCCCTCCCTCCTCACTGCCCCCAAAATAAAGCCTCTCTCTCTCAAAAGCAGCCTGAGGAAGAGAGAGCAATGTCACTAAAGCTTTGTTGCTTTGTTGACCTATATACATACACTAACAAGGCATATCAATAGGGAAGAATGTTTAGATATATACACTTCAAAGACTGTGCTACATTATATTCTGTGATCCTACTTTCTCATCCTCCTGGCTCATCACTCATCTCACTTATAGTACTACCCTTTAAAGTTCACTTACTGCTTTCCCTGGGGAAAATATAGATAATTAAAAACATAATTATGGAAAATATAACTAGCAGGGGTAAAGAGTATTTATATCATACTATGAAACAAGAGAATAAAATCTTTTATACCTTGAATGACAACAGAACATGTTACTAATTAAACCATTTGAATTTTCTAGAAATGCATGCCAGAAAAACACTGTATTAGAAAAAACCCTTCTGTAGAAATTAAGCAAGCAAGCATTCTTGCGCTAAGCAATGAGATGGTTGACTTGGGAGGCTAATGAATTAGTATAAACAATTTAAATCTAATTTAATTTAACAATGTAGAGCACTTGTGCATTGCAAAGCAACAGATAGTCATTTGTTTCTTCATTAACTCTAAGATAAAATTGGTGATTACCCTTCCATGAATTATTTTACTGAAGAGGATAGCAAACAATTTTTAAATTTAGTCATAAAAGTTCATGGCTAATCCCCAAACAAGCAACTAACCAGTGAAGGATACCAGTGAACATAATACAGACCAGCTGTGGTTTAGAGTAGTCCGACACCGTATTCAGCCAAAAGAGGTTCTCATCACTTAGTAAACAAATGTTTATGTAAAATATTAACATAGCATCTTAAGTTTATGTTTTACTCCTACAAAACACACAGTGTACTCTCAAAACAGCACAATGAAACTTCAAATATGATAAAATCATTCACTGAGAAAGCTGAGCATTTGGTACTGCAGAAATATCAAAATGACTGAAAAAATCCTGTTTCACCAATAAATTTATAAACTTGCCTCAAATGTGTTGCCAGTGATATCGAATTCTGGTGGTACAAAGGCACCCTCTGGATCATCTTTGGAAGAAAAAGGAAATTTGCCTCATTAGAAGTTAACACCTGTACTTGTTTAAAGTACATACCCATTTGATAATACACTCATATATGATACAAAAGAAACTCTAAATACTTATTTTGGTTCACTCATATCTGACCTAAAAATATGATATATCTATTTATAACACCATAAGTAAAATGAAATGCTATTTTCAACCTTCCTGCAGAAAACAAAAACATACTTCCTACAAAGAATCAAAACAGACATTAAAAAAAAAAAGAAAAGAAAAGAAAAAAAGAAACAGAAAAGAGTAGGAATACATTTACCTTGGCTGATAACTTCTTCTAGGCCTTCTGACATTTATGCTGGGACCAAGTTATCACCTAAGCTGGTGGGGCTCAGCTGTGACTTGCAAGTTTAGTTTGATTAATGGGACATTACTTTCTTCACTACAGACTTGGGGGAATAAAGATTCAGCTGCAGAAAATCTGAATTGCTAATTGACTCCTCTTCTACGAGCTAACTTTGAACTTTGTCCTTTCTGTTCTTTTTAAGATTATTTTTATTATCTGTTTATTATTACAATAAAGTTGGAAGTGCATTCCCCATCTTCATGCTCCTTCGCAGAGAACTGTGCTATTGCAGCAGCCACTGCTGAAGCAAGAGGTAGAAAGGAAAAATGAGCATCCTAAGAGAGGGTGAATGTGCTGCTACATCCAAGCATGCATGTACCATCGCACTGTACTGATGGTGCATGAACGTGGTCAAGAATAGTGGGGTTAAAAAGTCTTCTTCAAGTACATATTCAGCTCACTCCAACTATTCTTCTGTGAAGCCAAGAGACGAGAGATAGCATTTATGAGGTTATATATCACCTATATTAAAAAGGCTATATAAGTATATGAAGGCTATAAATTTCCCTTCTCAGTGGCAGAAATATGCTCATAGGTTTTACATACTCATACATAGCTTTAGATCTAATAGATTGTTTGTGCCTGTACTTAAGAAGCAAAACACACGGTTCTTTCATTGTGAAGATACTAAACTTAGATACATGGCAGAGAGGTCCAGAAAGGACTTGCTTTACATATTTATATATGTATATGCCAGTATGCCATATTTTTATATATTTATACACATATTTATACATATATTTTTGTATATGCCAGTATGTCAGACACTTGGCATGGTTGAATATCCAGATGTCGCTAACTGATTTACGGCTGTTCAGAAGGCTCCCAAGTCTACTCGCCAACTGAGAAAAGACGATACACAATCAGTTCTGCACTTCCTCCCCACACACACACTTTTTTTTTTTTTTTTTTAAGGGGTGGGTGGAAGAAAGAAAAGGATGAGATTTATTTTTTCTCTTATAGATTACTGCTCATTCTGTCCTTCTCCTTACTACCCTTTCCATTTTCCTTTTCCCATGGTTTAAAAGCTAAATAAGCATATGATTTTAGCACTGGTGAAGCTTAATGGATTCTTGTAGTGTGATGTTTACAATGGAGATTTTTCTGATTTGAGGGGACAGGAGGATATTAGAGGCCTTTGGCACAACACCCTGTTGGATATTTGTTACTGGCTGCAGCCCCACAGACACTGCAGGAAGCAGAGCTCTGCTGAAGCTGGGGTGACAGACTGTTCATTTGCTCTTACTTTAGGAAAACAAACAAGAAGTTTGGCAAGCAGATCCAGAGGTTATCATCACCTTCTAGAAAAATACATCCATATGACAAAAGTACAAGAAAGCAGAAAGACAACCTCCAGAAGCACCTAACTAGCAAACTGTATTTTCACCAAGCAATGAGGTTGGAGGAAAGGGGAGAGAAAAGGCCCAGGACATAGATGAATGAAGAAAATAAAATAAACCAGAGTATGCATCAACACTTAACTCTGACCTACTTTTAAAAACAAATTGGGTAAAAAAAGAAAAAGATAATTAAAACCTGAATAGAATGTATATGAACTTGAATGGACCTCCTTGTTAAAAATTAACATAATTCTAAAAGGACTGGAGGAAAAAATCTGGTTTTTGGCTAATATTTCTAGCTGAGAAAAATCTGGTCAAACTCAGAAGTCTTGGCTGACTGTCCACAAAACTGAGCATACTGTTTCATACAGACTGATATTCATCCACTCCTGAAGAAGGTCTTTTTTGTTTTTAGTTTTCTTCTTTTGTCCTTGATTTTAATTAAGAGTCTGAGGAACATAATGCTTTACTACAACCTCTCACCACGAGACCTCATACTTTTGAAATAAATCACCTGGAAACACAAATACTTACCACTGAGCTGCTCCATGAAGCATACATTGCCATTGGTGTTAAAAGCCAGCGTGTCAGGAGTGATGCAGAGCGTCTGGAAGATCGCGGAATGGGCGATGCTCTTCAGAGAGCGGCTGCACTCCAGGCAAACTGCCCAGATATCTTGCTCAGCGAGACAGCTATCCCGCAGCGACAAAATATCAGCAAGGGACACGTTCTCCTGCCAAGACATGGATTCATAAATTACTCCGCATTTCATGACATTACTTGTAGCCAATTGTGTCAAATGTAATCTATGATACCCAATGTTACACTTCCAGCAAGTTCTCTGACTTTCTAGGACACTTACTAACACCCCAAGAAACACCAAGTGCATGAAATCACAGCTAACATCGGAAGTCTCTTACGGAACACAGTTAGCCAGAACAAAGGTACCAACATATGTTAACGTCAAACAAAACAGAACAAGAAAGCCTTACTTTTGTGAGCTAAATTTCATCACCCTTCAACAAAGGTAGAGAAACTGAACATTCAGAGGTAAGAGCAGAGAAAATTAAATCATTTTGCTTAATCCGCATCTTCCTTGAGCCTTCCCAAGTGTTTGGATAAGCTACTTTCAAATTCTCTTCATTACAGCTCCCTCTGTGATCTGGGAAAAAAAATACTCTCATAATTAAGCTGTCTTAAGAGAGATGCTATTGTGAAGCTTAACTATTTAATAAAAGTTCTCCAAATTCCAACATGCTGAAAGTTGTTCTTAAATTTTGACTTAAAAAACACACACTTTATTTGTCCTAGGTCTCTCCTCTATGTCTAGGGTCCTTCCCAAACAAAAGAGCTCATGGACTTAGTTTCTAAGTTACTGTCCTAACTTAGGAGTCAACTTTTCTTTGACCTTGTCAATACAGGAAGTCTATAAAGAGTCCAGTGAAAAAGAATGGCTCTGATGTGGCTTTTTTTTGCCCAAGACTTTCAGAATTAGTGCTTGAGTGAATGCAGTCAGACTTATTTTTGTATGTTGTTAGAATATTGAAGGTTGCCCATGGCTAGACAAGTAAAATTTCATTCAGTTCGAAAAAAATAACTGATTCTGTCTGTAAGAAAGGTAAACAGTAAAAAAAATGGAAATATCTACCAGAAATTACTATCTGTATCAAAACTATACATGCTATTAATCATGCATAATACATTTCTCACTAATTCTTATGTAATGATTAAAAGTAAAGCCATTACCTCTGAATGATAGTATCTTCAATTCAAGATGAAAGTGCACATCAATGCATTTAAATATTTGCCTACCAGACTCTCTCTAGAACAGCCTAAATTAGAATATTGAAAATAGAAAGTAAATCACTATCAACCAAACAGAATGTATCTCACAGCTCAAAAATGCAAATTGAGACCTAGTAGTTTAAACTTATATTGCCAAAGAGAAAACTTAGAAAATACAATTTTTACTTAGTCTACACAGCTCAGTATTGGAGATCATCAGTAATCAGTGAACTACTAATTATGGAAGTTGCAACAGTTTATTAGCAAGCTTTTCAGAGAATGAAGTATTGCACTCGTTCTTCAAATATGAGTCCAAAATTTATTTTGCTTTTTAGTCCAAAGTACAACCTTTGAGCTTTCAAAACAGTCTCAGAATCCACTTCCAATCAAGATGAGATTATATAGGACCTGGAAAAATTTCTTATCTGTCAAGTTTTGAGGTTATTTTGTGATTGTCAGGTATCGCCTCAGAGCTGACATTAATCATCAGCAGGAGATATCTGTAGTTCCAAACTGCAAAGCCATCTTTGTCTTGTGGTTAACTTCTTATTTGGGGAGTAAATGAAATACAGTGATGACACCATGTTAGACAAACTTATCTTCACTTCTAGTGAAAGAGAAATTTAGTTAAGATGAAAAGAGAGAGACACAGAGAGAGACCGAGAGAGAGACTGTGAATAGTGAAGACATGAAGAGAACCTATCCCTCCCCTCCTTCCAAGGGAGAGCAGGTGAAGTTATTTACTTCACAGAAGCCCTGTATATTTCACTGGAAAGTTGCAGGAAAAGAAATGGAGCATTTGTTACATAACAGAGATGCTGATGTCTTTCCTCCCTTGTCTCATTACCAGAAAAAATAACTTGCAAAAAAGCAATTACTGTTTAATAACTATGAAAAGTGAACTGGTCAGATAATCATGGTTTAATTATGCATTTTAGTTCTCAGTTTTCCCTTACATTTTCTTCAGAACACATAAAATGATTCAGCAACACATGTAATTATGCGGAAGGAGAGGCAGCGGGGGGAGAAATCCTTTGGCCACAGCTTCTTTAAAAAAATTTAAAAAATATATTAGGGTGCTTTTAAGATGAAGAAAGTCCTAGGAAGGAAAGGAGTTTCAGATACTCCCTGCTGCTCTGCTCAGGCAGCTTCCCTGCTGCGCCTGTTGGCTTTTGCAAAGCAGATGCCCTGGCCATGGGAAGCCCAGGCTCCACTAAATGACTAAGCAGCTAAAAGCCAGGGCATCTCAGCATTCACAGCCTCCTGGCACCCAAGTCTTTTTGCACAGGTAGTTTGTTTCTTGGGACACAGGCTTCAAAACCCCAGAATCATGAGAAATATGCCAAACATGATTCATTAAACTCACCATATTTAAAGAAAAACACTGGATGCTGAGCTAAGCTCATCAGCTATTCTTCAAAGCAGCCCTTTTCCATTAATCTCCCTGATTCCCAGGTGATAGGTCATACTTGCTCCCTCAACAACATCCTTTAAGTATGTGCAAAAAGAGGCCTCTTCCTTCTGTATTTTGCACAGACCTGTCTGAGCAGGCCTAGGCCAGGGAACACTATCAATAGCGGAGGAGGAGAACCCATTTGCTTGACATAAAGGAACTCTAGACTGAGACTAGAAAAATCAGTTCAGCTGACAGCAGAAGAGCCAAACTCTTGAGTCATGAGATGCATTATGAACCTTTGACTTCTTAAGCACACTCTTATTCCCTGGTTCAGCTCGGGTTTGTGAACCAGGAGATATAAAAAAAGTCTAACTCAAGCTGGTTTTGGTATTTGAGACTCAAATATATGGTTCTCCCGAATCTTACTAATTAAGAAAAAAAAAGTTATGTTTTATCAAAATATTCCCTAGGGTAAGGAATACACTTTATATGAAAGCATACAAAGGAAGATAAGCAAGAGCAAAACTAAACACACTCAGACAAGCATGGCTATAGCACAGGATCCAGCTACAGGTTATTTGGTACCGTAACCACATGACTCAACAGCTTTCCTTATCTCCCACTGACAGAGGCCTTGATTTTTTAAACACAGGGCCATAAGAAACGGCTGCACAAAAATGTCCTTGGCCGCAGCTGAAAGCGCTTGCGCCCGCAGAAGAGCTGTCCCTTTCTGGGGTGCAGCAAGGACACGCCGGGCTCGGCGGTGCACGGACACGGCCAGGGACACGCGGCGCCGTGCGGGGACTGTGACTCTGCCGCCGGGGGGACGGGAGGGAAGGAGCCCGGGAGGCAACTCGGTGCCTGGGTTCTCCCCGCGGGCTGAGACAGCGGCTATCGCTTGCACAGGGCTGGCAGCTGTCAAAACCCTCAAGACCTGCCTCCAAAATATTTATTTAGGAATAAATAAACTGCATTCAGGTAATTTCGGCTGGCAACTTTGTGGGTTTTTTTTATTATTATTATTATTATTGGAGGGAGGGTAGGATGTCGGCGCAGCTCCCGGTG